ATTTCATAATTTATTTGATTTTCTCTATTATTTGGCATGATATATATTTGATTTTCTATGCTAACATACCATTTTTATATTTAAATAAATAGTTTTTGTAATGATGAGTTAGGTAAGGAAGGAAGCTAAACGGTAAAGTAAAATAATAAACTTTTGAAATCTTATAATGTTAATTTAATACTGTTTTTCTTATTGAGCATATGAAATTCACTCTTTCCATACTCCCCTAGATGAGGAAGAAAATGAGGAACCGCAAGCAAACCTACCCTTTGAAGTCTATAAGGATCTCGTGGATCCACAAGTCTGTAAAATGCATTCAATCTCATTGGTTTTATATATCACCTCTTATGAAAGAAGTGTCAGGATTTACACAAGTTGCAAATAATACAATCTAATCTTTATATTTGATTTGTGTGCTAATTATCGATCTACTTTTTACTTATTAAACTTATCACATACTAAAAATTTTAAATAAATATTTTATTTTTCAATAAAAAATACTAACTACTTTTTCAAATTTCTCACTATGCAATAATTACATTTATAGATCCTTTTTTCTTATATATACTTGTGGAGCAATTGTGCACAGCCTACATATATAAACAAGGTGTTGCAGACTACTAGCAAAGAAAGTACCATATATACCTATATATTTATATCATTTATTACTCCCATGTGGATATATACTGTGAAATCTCATATTCTAATTAAGGCAAATGGGTGTTAGATATAGATTCAAAATAACGAGTGCACGATAAAATTTATGCAGCAAAATCAAACCTTAACAAATCACTTACAGATATATATAATGTTCTAAGTACATACATAAATTGAGGCCAGAAATGACTACAATATACAAAATATAAGAGTCACTTCTTTCACTATGCTACTGGAATTCAGAGTGCGGCCTACATTTACACATTTAAAAAGAAAAGTAAAAAGAAATTTAATAATTATAGGTTATAAGATGAAGATGAATTAGAGCAATTAATATTAGGAAGTTATTTTAATTAAATAGAAACAAAAACGGTAATTAATAATGGGTAATAAGGTTCATGCTCTTTAGTATCTAATTCTGAACAAGATAGATATGCAAAATCCATAACATTCAATTTAGTATACTCGTTTTACCTACAACATTATTATTAAGCAATCAAAAAACATTTTTCTTTCACTATAAGGAAAATACATAAATTTTGGATATAAATAGAAAATGTCTTTTGGTAAAATAAGTAAGATACTTTTCTCTATTAGTATAAACCTTCTATTTATATCTTGTGCCAACTAAAAAAATTTGAAAATTGTACGCATGTCATTAATTAAATTGTAATTATAATTATTTAAACATTAAAAATTAACTATAAATATAAAATGCATTGTCTCGATGCCAAGTGGGGCACCAACACTCGATAGAGCAAACATAAAGAAAGATATGTATATAGCAGCAGAACTATTCCCCTCAATACAACATGCAAAAAAATGTACACTGAGGCATTAGGTTATCTATACTTATATACAATTAAAAAGAAATAACCTATATAAAATATAGTAGCCTCTAAAGATTTTTAACAAAATATATAAGTCTGCTCCAAATCCTCCTGGAAGGAAAACTAGACAAGATAGGTAATATTAATGGTGTACAAACATGCTTTGAAAACATTTTCTTAATGCAGATTTAAAGAAAACAGTGATAAAAGCAATAATTGGGAAACATTGATAATATACAACTCAATTGACATAATAATAATTTAACCATCAGTGGCGATCAATACCGTATTCAATGCACTTACATAATTCACACATACGCACCCACGACTAGACACATTTTCTGACTCAGTTTTAATACCAAATTATTATTTTAATTTCACCGTTTAAAAACCTACGCGTGCAACTACTTACAGTACTTCCATAGAGGCGCAAGTCACCAACTAGCTAAGAATGGAAGCACAATAAATTAGTAATAATAAAAACGTAAATACATAAAAATCACTAAGTACTCTTCGATCGTCATCAATCAGTTATCACTCCAGTCACTATTGTCCATATCCTGGAGCTCCAAGACATGTATGCAATCAGTTCATGGTCATCAACCACTGATCCTGGTTCTATAAATGGAACCTAATATCACACTCAAAGTCTAATGGTTTCCATATTATCCTCTATATCCCTCCAAGGAAATCAGTGCATCGAATTTAATTAGACACTGTATTATTTATATTTTAGACTTTTTAATAATTTCTCCCTTAAATTTAATATGTTATTTCATCCTATTTATTTTACTAATATGTAAAATTATTATTATTATGTAGTTTATTTGTTCTACTTAAACTTTATGTAGTAATATACTATTTGATTATTTAGATTTTTAATTCTATCTTTTTAAATTAATTTAAATATTTTTTTATTCTTGTTAAATTTTTTTCTAAACTTAAATTAAGTTTTATTATTATTATTATTTTCAATGCTAGCATCATAAATTTTACCCAAATTTCTAGCTCATGTTACACTTAACCATTTCCAATATAACTTTTATAACTTTCCACTTAATTACACTTATTTTTTTTTCCAATTTTGTTAATTAATTTTTTTTTTCTTGATTCTTCCCAAAGGCCCCAACCTCTCCAAATGTTTAGCCCATGGGAAGTCCCCATGCTTGGCCCGTGGCCCAGTGGGCTTCCGTGAAGGCCCCTCAACATGCTCTCATGTCTGTTGGGCTAGCACGGCCTGCTGGCCTATTGCACAAGGCTATCGCTCCAAGGGAATAGACCATGTGCAGAGGCACACTATTATGTCCTTGTTTTGGCAAACTTAGGTGCCCGAATACTCTCAACTCTCTTTGACTCAGCCTTTGCGCGTTGGCAAATTGCTAGAGGTGGTTTCAGGTTATTTCATTTGTACCTAAAATCCCTCTCTTTCATGTGAAGAAACTGTGAAGCACAATTTTTGGGGCATTTTGATGCCCAAACGCTTAACCGAGGATAATGGTCTCTGTTTTTCGTCCCTCTTCTATTTTATTATGGTTTTAAGACGTTCATCATCATCAATCACATTCAAACATAAAAAAAAACTTATTAAATACAATTAAAACATATTACATAACTATCAAGCACAAGATGAACACACCCACCCTTTTTCCATTTAAAAATCCACTTCATCTATGCATTTTTAAAGAACACATCCCATGAAATGCAATCTACAAATGCCATCTTTGTATGAACTAAACTACTACCCATCTTACCTCAAAGAAGTAGCAGCAACAAGCCAAAGAATCACAAGAAAAGGTTGGATTGAAAGCTTGAAGAATAGTTCCGTAATATGCGGAATTGTTGCAGAAAGTGAGATTAATTTCTAGTTTCCTAGTGTGTTTAGTTTTGTTTAATTAATTTCTAAAAAATCCCTAATATCCTATTATGATTCTATATTACATAAGGCTTCTGCATAATCCGGATTCCTAAGGTTATTAAGAAACATGTTTAAGTGTGAAGGAAGAGTGAAAGAATACAGGAGATAAAAAGCTTACATTAAACAGAAATCATATTTTGGACTCCCAATCTTCACTCGCACACTCACACATTATGTTTTCCCAAACGTCCTCACCGCCGAAGCTTCTAATTTCTCTCAACTCATGGTTTTTTTGTTGGTTTGTTTATTGTTGGAAGAAATGAGGAAGAAGTGTGTTGTAGAAAAAGCCTTACAGAAAAGGTCCAACTGATCTAAACCTTCTATTCACATGCAGCTGCTCCAAACTGTACATGTAAGGAAATGGTCAACAACTTACCATAAGTGAAGCTAGAGCTGCGACATCTGGCCTGCCAGAAGCTTGTCCTAGCCAGCTGGTTAAGGCAGTAACACCATTTGGCGTAACGGTGTCACATCAAACCAGGCTGAAGTTGTCACTTGTGGGTCTGCCTTGTTCCCCCACCCCCCTCCCCAACCCCGCCCTTTAGTTTGTATGTAAATATATATATACACACCTATAAGCGAAGTTTTAATTTTAATCTACTACACATAATAATAAACACACCATTTTAAGGCTGGATTAATGTTATTTTTGTTGGGTTTATATTTATACATATATATTTACTCCTTCATTTATGTATTTAGGAATGTGTTTACTTATGCACACAGATATCTATATACAAAAGTTTACTTCAGTTTATATATGATATATATATTTAGTTTATTATTATTATTGTTATTATCATTATTATTATATATATTTTAATTCATTTAAAGTAATAACAATTAAAAAATAGAATTATAATATCTTTAGAAAACACCATTATTGAAAATATCTCTTTCATTAAAATTTTGAAGTTTCATTTTTTTCCACTTTCATATAATTGTACATAAATTGTTAATTCCTTTAAAATTTATTTTAAATTAGTTAATAAATCATATGACTAAAATACCTTATTAGATAAAAGTTTATGGTAGCACATAACTGCCTGTTACATTCTCTCCCCTTCTTAAATAAAAGTTTTTCCCAAGTTTTAAAATCTACCCCGAGTACAAATCTCTTATAGTGATATCCTAAGATAAGCATTGGGTAGCCATGAGTAACAAAAACTCAGAGACCATCAGTGCGTACAAGGAAACCAGAACTCATACTAGCTAGATTTAACATGTAACATGTTCTGTCGTAGGTGTTTCCAAGTCAGGTGTCAAGTGTACTGAATGATCTGTCATATTATGAGAATAGACAAGTATGTTATCGATAAAGACTATAACATACTTATCTAAAACTAGTATAGATACCCATTCTAAAATTCATTTCTCTTCTTGTTAAAGAAAACTTTATTTAGTAGGTTAAACTACATTTAGAAAAAAATTTAATTAATTACATTATAACATAAAAGAAATACAAAATAGGATATCTTTATTATTTATTGTTTATATTGATTCATTTACTGTGAGTACGATGTACTATTGGGAAGAATGAACCATTATTGTTTTTTGGAAATAATCAAGGGTAACAAGATATACAGCCAGCCAATCCATACTCATGATTACCTGAAACCCTTGAAAACCAAAGAGTAGAAGATCAACTAGAAAGTTTTTACCTATTATCTTATTCTTACAAGATTTAAACATCACCTAGACGCAACTAACATACTTATCTAAAACTAGTATAGATACCCATTCTAAAATTCATTTCTCTTCTTGTTAAAGAAAACTTTATTTAGTAGGTTAAACTATATTTAGGAAAACTTTTAATTAGTTACATTATAACATAAGAGAAATACAAAATAGGATATCTTTATTATTTATTGTTTATATTGATTCATTTACTGTGAATAAGATGTTCTATTGCGAAGAATGAACCATTATTGTTTTTTGGAAATAATCAAGGGTAACAAGATAGACAGCCAGCCAATCCATACTCATGATTACCTGAAACCCTTGAAAACCAAAGAGTAGAAGATCAACTAGTAAGTTTTTACCTATTATCTTATTCTTACAAGATTTAAACATCACCTAGACGCAACTAAATTCTTAGCTGGTGTTCTTGGCACTACTATCTTTCCTAGGGTACAAGATTAATACTTATCTTTTCAACAAAATTAATTAAAACGAAAGAGTACATAACACCCAAATTAGTGATGACACATGCAAAATAGTTAGAAATAAAAAGTGTACCTTCCATGACTACAGGTGTAACCCCAGCAACTAGCTCAACCAACTGGTTCCCACATCTCCATGTAGCCTAACGACGGTGGGGATTAGGATAATCTCTAGTATAATGCCTTAGATCCCCGCAATTAAAACACGTATTCGTGTCTCTGAAGTATGAGTGCCTACTTAAAGAGGAGTGAAAACCATAATGGGTGTCACTTTGGGCCTCCTAGCAATAAGACCTCAGTCAAGTTGCCCCCTTCTTAGCTGATTTTAGATCCTAACACTGTTGCATCACCAGAGCTAGGCAATAACTAACTCTACCCTGAGTGCTAAAGCACAAACAGGATTAAGCTAGTCCTCCACTGAACAAGGGTGGTCATCATTATGCGTTTCATCATGACCAATAATGAAAACAAATTTTTGGATGACTTGAAGAAGCCAAATGATTTCTGCCCAAGTAGGGGTACCCTCAATGCATTCCACAAAATCACTTCCTCGTATCATGCTGCACACAAGGAAAGAAAAACTTAGGAATTAGAACAGTTCAAACATTCCTAATAAATTTAGAGTTCTAGGTTATCTAATAGAATATTATCCTATTATAAAAAAACCTAACCCTAGGCCTCAGTTGTATGAGATGTCCCTAGAATCTGGTCTAATACTACTTGTGATATCCCAATGCCAAGTGGGGCGTTAATGTCTGATAGAGCAGACATAAAGAAAGATATGTACATAGCAGCGGAGCTATTCATTCCAATACAATAAACAAAAACTGAACATTGAGGCATTAGGCTATCTATACTTATATACAAATCAAAAGAGATAACCTCTAAGGTAAGACTAATATGAGTTCTAAACCCCGAAATTGAGGTTCACATTTTGGGTAATTATAGTAAAACGAGTTGTGGTCCTAGTTAGGAATGGTCAATTATTCATTCTTAGTTGACAGAATACTGAAATATTAAGAAACAAAGAGAGTTTTAACCAGATCCCATTCAGAGAAATCACAAAGAACAGATTCAGAGAGAGAAGAAAATTTACTTGAGTAGAGAGAATAGTTAGGCAGGGATGAGCCACTAATAGAGATAATCTTGGGGAATAATCTGGGAAAATTCAATTGAGGTGGAGGGTGACTTGAAATTGAAACAAAGGACCAACTAAGAGAGATATCTAGTAGGGACACGGACTGTTGGGTCTGATCAAAGAACCTAGGGGCGCAGTGTTGGGAAGCACCGGGGGTTGGTCTTATTGAGTAGCATAAAGAGCCAACTATATCGTAAAACCTAATTTGATGACAGGGTGTGTGTATGGCCACTAAGTGGTCAGACATTGCTTGATAATTGTGTGCATACACTTTATATCGTTAGAATTTATTTCATGAACTGATTGTTGTAAATGTTCTCTAGTATGGCTCACTGATTCGGGTAGAATGAGGTATGACTATCACCATAGACAACGGTGAAATGGATGGATCCATAGGATGAGGTATACTATTTAATATGTCCTTACTATGCATCTATTTGGTCATTTGAGCAGTAATTGTGTGAGTGTTTTAAGGAGAGAAAATAACGTGAAGCAAAAGAATCAATGGGATGATGTTTCTCTTTTAAATTCCTTTTTATGTGCATATGTTTGGTTATCTATGATGTAATTAAATTAGAGTCATGTTCGGAGAGGCTCAGGTGAAGTAGAAGGATATAATGGATGTTGTTTACTATTTTTTAATTTTTTTTCTTAGCATCAGTTTGGACATTTGGGCAATAAATGAACGAGAGTGTTGTTGGAGAAATTATCTGAAGTTGAAGCAGATGAATATATGGATGACATTATTCTATTTTAATTTTATTTCTATTTATTTTACTGATTAGTTACTTGAATAATGGCTAAATGAGAGGTTTTTTGGGGAGAGCTAATGTGAGACAATATATCACATCATGAGGCAGAATGGTATCACAAAGATATCCTAGAGTTGAGGAGACCATAGGGGGCACTAAGAAAAGAAGAAGAACAGTTAAAACAAAAAGTATGAATAGATAAAAGATACCAAGGGAGTGTAACAGCTAGCTTGAAGGGAAGTATTAACGGTAGATGGGGCTGTTTGAGTGAAACGGAAGGTAGAAATGAGAGCAAGCTGTAAAATGATGAGCATAGGTGGGTATAAGGGACTATATGTGAGAAAAGGAATTTGAGAGGAGCAGAACCGAGGTGAGGAAAAGGGGCTACAGGCGGGCAAGTGATTCTGGAAAGAAAATAAAGAGGAGAGAAGCAAACATAAAAGACACCAATAAACACCTTTGGAAACTCAACTTCCTGAAGATGATGGTCAACCCAATAAGGAAAGAAAATTTGTGAAGAGGAATGGTAGATTCCACCAAGAATAGGAAGCAATAACGGAGAAGCCAAACCCCAGTAGTAACTACAAAAAAAATCGTAGATTCCACCAAGAACAGGAAGCAATAACGGGGAAGCCAAACCCCAGTAGTAACTACAAAAAAAAACCCACTTCCCAAAATTCACCCACCCTTAATTTTGGTAGCCAGCAGAAAACACTATAGGGTAATATAATTATTTTGGGTAGAATGTAGACGTGAAAATTTATGTTGAGAATTGCCTTGTACTTGGTGGGGCCAGATGACCCATTTTTTCTTAAAAAAAGGAATAGAGTAATTATGACTAGATCCTTGTTAGTGCCAAGAAGAAATATTTACCAAAGTTTTGTGGGAAACAAGAAGTTCATGTCTAGATAAACTACTTACAAATTAAGAGTAAAGTTTAGTAACAAATCATGTTTTAAGGTGCCAAGATAAATAATACCCTAGATATGACTCCAAGCTGCACGTCGACGTGTTACAGAGAGTCTTTTGAATAGAAAACAAAAATATATCAGAGATATGAAATAGGTGAAATCCCTAGGGGATGGAATGTAGTGGAATACAAATTAAACTCAATTTGCACCATATATACAAATCAAGTATAGTAGGAACATGGTGAGTAGTCCTAATACTACTTCAGTTTGTTTCTAATACAAGGGTATACTACCTCATTGCGCTTTCATCTATAAAGGATCTCGAGTTTTCCCAACTTGTTGATAAAAGCATGCTAGTTATACTTGGCCAATCATGCTATAAAAGAAAAAGAAATCCAAACATATTACAAGATCAATTCTTGATCATAATACCATGGACCAATATTTCTTAGATGAATTATAAAAGATTATATGACTATTAGTAATGTAGATGATCCAACTAACCCAACTGAACTTTCAATAGTCTGTTACACATAACAGTCTATTCTTTTAGGAAATAACTAAACATTTAAAGAAATGAGTATACTTGACAAAAACATTCCCTAATGAATTTTTATCCATTTTAAATTTAAATCCCTGAAGGAAGAGAACTTCCTAAAAACATGTTTTGTAATCAAAACACTTAAAGTGATACCCCAAAATATGATCCTACACCGAAGAGGAACATAAATTTTATTTAATATATAAATACCGGGATAAATCTCCAAGTTAAATACAATTAGAGTATCGCAACAAAAGTGTGGGGGACCCGTAAACCATGACATATGGAAGAATGCTTTCCAAACCAATGAATGGATAATTGATGATGTGATGATCACATGAACCATCTCTTAGGACCATACCTAAGAATAATTATTTGAAAGCCATGGACATTATATAATATTTGACCATGGAAGGATTTAAATAGGTAGAGAGTGTAACCCATGCTAGTTAGGCTATTAATGACTCCTCCACCAAGGACTCCTAATGATTTTCAGTAGTAAATATGAATTTTGAACTGCTTGCTTAAATGTTAAAGGATTTTAGGAAAGTCTAATAAAGTACAGAGGAATATTAGATATCATCCAAGCTTGATGGAATTTTAGTAACAACATGATGCAACTAAGAGTAGATTACTAAGGCAATAGATCCATTGAGTAAAGAAGAAAAAGTATTGAATGATAAAACATTTTTCAAAATTCCCACGGTAAATTTCGAAAGAAGGTAAACCTACCATGGTGTTGGGATTATCTAATTAATTAAGAGCTCATCCTTGTTGGGAATAGGGAATGTATAGTATGCTAAATGACTCTTTAGAGTGGAGGAGCAAATAAGTCGTGATGCTTCTAACCAGGGTTTAATAGTAATGACAATTACCTAAATTATTATTAGGAGATATTAGGCATTAAGAAACTTGGGAAGTTCAACATAAACCAAGATGGTATTCTCTTATACAGATACAATATTATAATCTCACCATTTTGTGAAGAAGTCATTGGGAATTAAATAAAGACAATATTTTTCAAATCCTTGTTAGTGCAAAATTTGGGGGACCAAATTTTTTTAAGTGGGGTAGTTTATAACATCCCGAGGATTGAATGGTGAACCTTAGGGATAGTTTTGCAAAAATTTAATGGGAACAAATTTTTTTAGATGTTACAAAAAATTTAAAGAAAGGATCAAATCGCAAAGGTTTTGGAAGAAGAGGGGAAATAGAGATTTCCCCTATATGGAAGAAAAAAGCCATGTAAGAAAAAAGTAGAAGAAGAGAGTAGTTCTGCAGTGCAGAAGAAGATAGGCAGACCAAGGGAAAATAAGGTGGATGGGGAACAAAGGTGTACTCCAGTACTAAGGAAGGTTGGCAGGCCAAGGAAAGTGGTGGATGGAGAAAAAGGGATTTCTCCTATACGTCGCTTTGGGTATATATATATACATATTGAAAATGTTAGAGCCATCATTAAGTTTCTAGTAGTAAAATATTTTATCTAGATTTGTTTTATTTTTTTTTTGTTGTGCTAGGTGCATGTGGTGAGGGAACCCATGAAGAAGATGGAGAAAGAAAAGACTCCATCAGTGAGTGGAGGAGTGTATATATTTTATATATACATATATTTAAGCCACTTAGTTAGAAATGCATATAATAATTTCTCAATGTGTAAGATTTTGATTAAAATATACTCGGTTTGCTTGTTAATTTATAGATATCGACCAATAAGAAAAACCACAAGAGGGTAGCAAGAGAGATGCCTTCTATCATTGATGAAGTAGTTAATTAACCTATAAGATTGAAATTGATATGTTTTTGGTGGGCAAATTATTACATTTAACTTGCTTTTGTGCCATTGTACAGATGATGAAGTCTTTGGAGAGGATGCATGGATTCCAAAAGAAATGAAAATGATTTTACTCAAGTAACTTACTTGACCTAATTACATAATATGTAGTGATTAATAGGTGCATAAAAAAGAAAATTGCATTAACTTATTTTTTGGTACTTATAGATGACAGGGAAGGCAACGAGGAAGGAAAAAGAGATTGATCCCATTGTAATTAGATTAATTTTTACACACTATACATTTATAAATTTTATGAGTGAAATAACTTCATTTCTTATTTCTTATTTCTATATATCAATTCATCGTGGTAGCACCAAGATGTATCATGACTTGAGATTTCGATTTTAGTGGCCCGAGATGAAGAGGGATATCATAGACTTTATC